ACAAAAACAAAAAAAAACGAATTTTGCATCATTTCTTCCTTCTTCTAATAATGACATATATACAAACACTGTCATTTAATTCAAGAATAATTCTAAACACACTTTATATTAACATAATTAATTGCGTTTTCCTTAGTATAATAGCATTTCATTTGAAACACACTCTATAAAGAGTTCTTCTCATGAAAATTAAGAATAAATCTTGTGAATCAAATTTGAGATCTAATGACTCAAAATCAGTCAACAATGTAGTACATTTTATCAAACACGCAATGATCATTGAGTAAATAAGCCAAAATTTTCTCTCACTGTGAAAAATCGTAAAACAAATACGGAGTATCTACTAGTGCACCAGAAGGAGTACAAAGTGCACCCGCTCACGTTTTCACAAAAATAACACTTTTTTATTGGAACCGCACTCTATATACATATCTAATGATTATTTTTCACTCGTTTTTCTTTTATCCTAATAAAAAATTATTTTGTAAAAAAATTGTAAGAGCACCCTCTCAATTTATTCTCTGGTTCCGCCAACTACACATGATCCAATACTACTGGGAAATACACAGTACAGAGACACCAAAAGCAACCGAGGAATCCAGCTCCACAACAAACTCAGAAAAGCCCTCATCGATCGCCCAGGTAACCGCTTGAGCAGCGACCAAGGTCTCCGCCTCTAACGATGAAGACGCTGTCAAACAGTCAAAGGGAAGGATGGAGAGAAAACCAACTCCCCTGCTTGATTTCCATAATCGCACCCCCTACTGTTTTGTGGACTAAGAAGCTCACATCAGTATTGTGCAATTGGGTTTCAATTTTTTCAAGTTCCAATAGTACCTTGCAATTTTTCCGTGTAACATGATAGTTTCTGAATAGTGTTCAAACTTCAAATTGTCACTCCTTAAATGGGCAACACACACACACCAAACTAACAAACAAGCTACCAAAAAAATTGTTTTATTTTTCTCAACATTCTCTTTTTTCAAATTATTGTCACTCCTTGTCATTTTCCTTGTTCCAAACAGACCCTTTAGGCTGATTGCAACTCTTGGGGTCAAAAAGCAATTTTGATCTATTCACCTAGGGTTGGATTCGGGCCGGGTCAGGTCCGGGCCAGGCCTAGGCCCGAGTGGGCCGCCGGTTCTGAATAGTTGGGCCCAGGACCGGCCCGAGTAGCTACCGGGTCCGGGCCGGGCCTTAAAATTTTTTTCCTTTCCTAAGTGTCCCTGACCCCCCCACCCCCCAAACCCCCCAAACCCCTCCTAAACATCAAGCCCAACCCGGGTGGAACCCAAAAAAATGAAAGGAAAAAAAAATCAATTTGGCCCGAACCGGGCCCGGCCGAGCCTCCTTTTCACTGACTCGAGCCTGCCCCGCTTTTCCTAGCTAACCGGGCCTTAGACCGATTTGGGGCCCGTAGCACCGGGCCGGGCCGGTCCCGCACAGTAACGGGCCGGGCCAGTTCCCAGGCCGGGTGGCCCGGACCGAGTCCAGGACTATATTCACCCCTTAAAACCTCCACAACTCTTGTATTCAAGCTGGGTAGAAATTAGATGACCTTTTAGATGACCCTTTGGATGACCTTTTCCACTCCCAAGTAGGCATGGCCTCGGCCCTGGGCCCGGCCGGTTCACGGTTCAGGATATAGGAGGCCTGGAACAGGCCCGGGTAACCCCTGGGCCGGGCCTCGGTCCAATCTATTTTTTTTTTTGGCTTCTCCTAATTAACTCCCAACCTCCCCCCTCACCCCCAAACCACCCCAAACCACCTCAAATGGACCAAAATACTCAGCCCAACCCAAAAACTTAAAAAAATTCAAAAAAAAATTAAATTTGGCCCGGACCGGGCCCGAACCGGCCGGGCCGGTTCACCATTCCTAGGGCCCGAGCCCGAACCGTATGACTAGCGGGCCGGGTCGACCCGAACCGCCCTATGGCCCGGTTCCCGGGGCGGGCCGGTTCAAACAGTGACCGGTCGGGGCCGGTTCCGGGGCGGGCCGCCCAGCCCGAGTCCATCCCTACTCCCAAGTCCCACCCAATAGTCCAATACACACTTCGCTCGGCAAAAGAAGGAAAATGGAGTGGCTTCATCAAATAATAATATGGGTCCCACTCAAAATGTAAATCTTACTCCATTTAAAGTGTTTTAACTTTTTTAAAGTGTTGTTACTTTTTATTTATATTCCCTTTCTACAAAAAAAAATACTATATCAAAATTCTTAATTTTTTATGATCTTTCATATGACATCAATATTGTATATATAAAGTAAAATGACAAAAATTGAAGTTTCAATAGGAGCGGACTGTAGTAGAGACCTAAGGGGGCTATCCCCCCCACCCCCCCCCAAACCCCTCCTAAACATCAAGCCCAACCCGGATGGAACCCAAAAAAATGAAAGGAAAAAAAATCAATTTGGCCCGAACCGGGCCCGGCCGGGCCTCCTTTTCACTGACTCGAGCCTGCCCCGCTTTTCCTAGCTAACCGGGCCTTAGACCGATTTGGAGCCCGTAGCACCGGGCCGGGCTAGTTCCCAGGCCGGGTGGCCCGGACTGAGTCCAGGACTATATTCACCCCCTAAAACCTCCACAACTCTTGTATTCAAGCTGGGTAGAAATTAGATGACCTTTTAGATGACCCTTTGGATGACCTTTTCCACTCCCAAGTAGGCATGGCCTCGGCCCTGGGCCCGGTCGGTTCACGGTTCAGGATATAGGAGGCCTGGAACAGGCCCGGGTAACCCCCGGGCCAGGCCTCGGTCCAATCTATTTTTTTTTTGGCTTCTCCAGTTCTCCTAATTAACTCCCAACCTCCCCCCTCACCCCCAAACCACCCCAAACCACCTCAAATGGACAAAATACTCAGCCCAACCCAAAAACTTAAAAAATTCAAAAAAAAAATTAAATTTGGCCCAGACCAGGCCCGAACCGGCCGGCCGGTTCACCATTCCTAGGGCCCGAGCCCGAACCGTATGACTAGCGGGCCGGGTCGACCCGAACCGCCCTATGGCCCGGTTCCCGGGCCGGGCCGTTTCCAGGGCGGGCCGCCCAGCCCGAGTCCATCCCTACTCCCAAGTCCCACCCAATAGTCCAATACACACTTCGCTCGGCAAAAGAAGGAAAATGGAGTGGCTTCATCAAATAATAATATGGGTCCCACTCAAAATGTAAATCTTACTCCATTTAAAGTGTTTTAACTTTTTTAAAGTGTTGTTACTTTTTATTTATATTCCATTTCTACAAAAAAATACTATATCAAAATTCTTAATTTTTTATGATCTTTCATATGACATCAATATTGTATATATAAGGTAAAATGACAAAAATTGAAGTTTCAATAGGGGCGGACTGTAGTAGAGACCTAAGGGGGCTATCCCCCCCACCCTCCCAAACCCCTCCTAAACATCAAGCCCAACCCGGGTCACCGGGTGGAACCCAAAAAAATGAAAGGAAAAAAAAATCAATTTGGCCTGAACCGGGCCCGGCCGGGCCTCCTTTTCAGTGGCTCGAGCCCGCCCCGCTTTTCCTAGCTAACCGGGCCTTAGACCGATTTGGGGCCCGTAGCACCGGGCCGGGCCGGTCCCGCACAGTAACGGGCCGGGCCGGTCCCGCACAGTAACGGGCCGGGCCAGTTCCCAGGCCGGGTGGCCCGGACCGAGTCCAGGACTATATTCACCCCCTAAAACCTCTACAACTCTTGTATTCAAGCTGGGTAGAAATTAGATGACCTTTTAGATGACCCTTTGGATGACCTTTTCCACTCCCAAGTAGGCATGGCCTCGGCCCTGGGCCCAGCCGGTTCACGGTTCAGGATATAGGAGGCCTGGAACAGGCCTGGGTAACCCCCGGGCCGGGCCTCGGTCCAATCTATTTTTTTTTTGGCTTCTCCTAATTAACTCCCAACCTCCCCCCTCACCCCCAAACCACCCCAAACCACCTCAAATGGACCAAAATACTCAGCCCAACCCAAAAATTTAAAAAAATTCAAAAAAAAAAATTAAATTTGGCCCGGACCGGGCCCGAACCGGCCGGGCCGGTTCACCATTCCTAGGGCCCGAGCCCGAACTGTATGACTAGTGGGCCGGGTCGACCCGAACCGCCCTATGGCCCGGTTCCCGGGCCGGGCCGGTTCAAACAGTGACCGGTCCGGGTCGGTTCCGGGGCGGGCCGCCCAGCACGAGTCCATCCCTACTCTTAAGTCCCACCCAATAGTCCAATACACACTTCGCTCGGCAAAAGAAGGAAAATGGAGTGGCTTCATCAAATAATAATATGGGTCCCACTCAAAATGTAAATCTTACTCCATTTAAAGTGTTTTAATTTTTTTAAAGTGTTGTTACTTTTTATTTATATTCCATTTCTACAAAAAAAATACTATATCAAAATTCTTAATTTTTTATGATCTTTCATATGACATCAATATATTGTATATATAAAGTAAAATGACAAAAATTGAAGTTTCAATAGGGGCGGACTGTAGTAGAGACCTAAGGGGGCTATCCCCCCCCCCCCCAACAAAAAAATAGTGTATATATGTACGAAAAATAATTTTCGCCCTCCCAAAATATATTTTGTTTAATTACCACCCTCCCAAGATGAATTTCCTGGGTCCGCCCCTGAGTTTCAACTGATGAAAGTTTTCAGACCTAAAATTTTTCTTAAATAGATTCAGGTGCTAAAATTAAGATTTCACAATTAAAGTATTTTTTACATCTTTCAAATACTTTTATTTTAAAATAGCTCTGAAGTAACAAATTTAAATTAAAATTCAAATTTACATATTTTTACATCGAAATGTTTGACTTTTTAAATCATAATTATTTACAAAAAAACGGAAAGAATTGATGTATAATAATAAATCCAATATTTTAATTTGAAAAAAACTTTGCAAAGTGAATATATTGACGCCTTGATAGTGCTGGGTTGCACTAAAAAATGAGTGAATACGTATAAATTGGTGGAGAATTAAATTTATTGACGGAACTGAGTTGCGGTTAGCTTTAGAAGTATGAACCAAGAAAAAGTCCAATATATAAATAAAATTACAAATAGAGAGCATGATGGTTTCTGAATAATACTACGATCCTGAAGATATTTCACTGTCGCTGCTTAGATACGACACATACATATTAATACAAACTACTACAAGCTACAAGAAACCAAAGCTTGAAAAGATGATCAGAAGGGTAATGAAGAAGTTAGCTAACTACTCATAACTAGTTACCGCACGTCATGGATCAAGCAGGTAGCAGCATGATTATCGATTTCTCTTTCTTTTTGACTTGCTCCCAGTTTCACCTCCCCGTTTCTTGGTGGAGCCACTCAATTTGGCACCAATGGCACTACTCCATAAGGCCCTTTCGATGTCGGATGGTGTAAATGTAAGACCTTTTGCTGTTAATTCCTGAAAATGAGTAACCACCAATCTGTTACATTCAAATGAATGCCTAGCCAATTGCACATTCAGTAAAGTCAAATGAGACAATCACAGTCCTGCCACACCATCTGCCCTTTCCGCTAATTTGGTAGACTGTCATTACATACTTCATGCTTGTAAGAAAAACAAGGAATAGGATTACAATCTATGAATATATAAAACATGGCCTACAAAAGCTTATAAATTTATGATAATTTATTCTACAATGTACTAATCTATGAGAGCGTGATATTTGTACCAACACTTAACTTTGATCATGTAAACCCTTTTGAAATAAGGTGCAAAGAAGCCTCATTAGTTTACTCCAAAAAGCACAATCAGCACATATGCCCTTTATTTTAGGGCAGACAAAAACTATAACTTGAGTCATATAAGCCCATATGAACAGAAATTTCATCTTTGTTAGATTGAACGTTTAAAACCTATTCTAATTTCTATTATATACTATGTATAAATAATGAAAATAATATGAGTACACTTTTATCTTTTTTTAAACAGACCACATGTCCGTCTCTCTCTCATATTTACACTCAATCCTCCAAGGTTTTCGTAAACTCCTCTCAGACCCAACAAAAACTTGGTCTTCCCATGTCTTGTTCTCTTCATTTTCAGTTTCCGCAAGCAGATAAATGACATATACAGAATCTGGAGAGTCTTTCTAGATGGCTTAAGTGCTTAACCACAAAGAGAATATCCAGTAACTTTTCCAGAAAACTTGAACTGAAACCACGTTTGGCTACTAAGTAATAGCTTCAGACAAAACAACCACACAGGGTTGATTTTTTTATCTTCTTATTATCCTTTCCAAGCACAGTGCTGGTTGTTTGAGATTAGACAGAACCAATTAAACCGCAACTTGTGCCAAGATAAATATAGTATTGTGTGCGTTGCCAAGTTGTGTAAGTATATGTGACAAATCAGAAAAATCCCCAGTCTCCTCACTTTCTTGTAGTTTCTACAACTGAGAGCTTAACTCCTTATTTATAGAATCATAGGTACATGCTCAACTGCTCAAACCTCACTGGTGGGGCAGTGGGAGAAAGTAAAGGCTAAAAACTTCTGTACTTTACCTATTGAAGCTCTAGTGTGTAATCAACTGTGAGTCATCACTAAAGCTCTCCTGTGTGATAATAAAAGAAATTGGCAAGCTGAAAAGTTACAACACCTGCGAACAACTTAGTACTCTGGCTTTAGTAAAAAATGCACATCAATTGTCAAACTATAAGTTATACTTCTTCCATAATCACCATATGAATCCCCAAGTTACCATAAATCACAAACTCTTTCTAGACCTTACCTAAACATGCTAAAAGTCTAAAACTACTAGCTCTAATTTCATGGTAGTCCTATCATACCCCACAAGGGTAGCCAAGTTGGTTGAACAATTAACATGGCAGCTGCAAGGTCCCGTCTTTAAATCTTACCAAGTACTGCCTATTGACCTACTTGTTACAACTGGTAAAATATAATTCATCCAGTACAATTTACATGCTTCACCCAGTGTGCACCACAAGACAGCAACTGCAGGTTCTCATGTCACTGAAAATGATAATCCTATCCTAAACGCATTTTGCGCATTAAAATGAAGAAGCATTTTCCATTAACAATCAATTACATAATTTCCAAAAGTTGAAGATATGGTATCAATGCAAATGCCTCATTACCAAAATAACTGTAATTACCTCCAATTCAATCAAACTAAAATATATACAGCACAGTAGTCACCTTAGCTTTCGCCTGTAGCTTGTCCACGAAAACTAAATACTGTTTCAGGGTGTAATCTTTGGAGTTACCAATGGCAGCATCCATTGCCTAAACCGGAAAATCGATCAAGTGCATATTAATAAGTACTCCCTCTGTCCCTAAATTTACTTCCATTTCGCTTTTCGAGAGTCAACTTAAATCACACTTAAACTCTTACTTTTTGTATCAAAACTTTATGAAAATTGATTTTTTTTGCAGGCTTTGTAGCGGGTTTAATGTAGTTTCTGAATATGTAAATTTTATTTACTAAAAATAATCCGATTTTTCACGGGGATCATTTAACTTTATCGTCGGTCAACCTTCGTAATCCGCAATTGGAACAACATTCAGGGACGGAGGGAGTAACAAATTTTTTTTTTGTAGAACTTATAAAGCAGCAGAGCACATGTGTAGTGGAAATAATTCAAGGCACGCAGTAGGAGAATTACTTCATCAGACATGAACGGTGCAACATCAGGGGCGTAAGCGGCCAGGACAGCTGAAGCCGTGGCCGGACCAACACCTTTCAAAACCGTAAGCTCCGAAATGGCTTTGGAGACGTCCGGGAGAGAGCGAAATCCTGCCTGTGAAGCCGATTTTACTACTTCATCATCTAATGACGACACGAAATCCAAAAGCCTCGGCCTGCAAAATTGAAATCGTATTTGACGATTAGTATACAACACTAGAGGAGACAACAAGAGGAACATACGAAACGTATTTCGTGCCTCCATTTGCCTCGGGTGAGCTTCCATTGCATGAGCTTGGTGAGTTCCGACGTGATGATGTACGGAGTAGGGTCCCGCTGACGGATGAGAACGGGGAGTTCGTTCCGGTAGAAGCCGTCTAGAGAGACGAGATTGGGCTTATCCAAGGCTTCGATACGGGCCTCGTAGGACAACAAGGCCTCTTTCCAGAGGCTCAAATCGGAGCAGTTAAATTCCATTTTTGGGTACTCCAGTGAGCATGCGTGCTGCAGTTCTTTCTGGCAGAGTCGCGGTTGGATGGCGATTTTCTATTTCCCTGAACAAGAATGATTTTTTTATGAAAGATGCTCCATAACTTTCAGGAAGTATTTACAAAAAAAAATGCTTTTCAAAGTGATTCAGATAAATAATGAATTTTTTCAAAGTGATGATTCTATTCAAGAGTTATTCAAATTACAAAAAATACCCTATTTTATACCTCATTTTGTACTACCCCTATGTTTGTAGTTCCCAAAAACACTTCATTAAAATGGAGCAATTAATTTATGGAAGTAAGTGATGGAGTATATATGGCTGAGGGATCCCCGACTAATAGGCTCCTGCTTCTCCTACTCAAGGCCATCAAGCCCAACGGGCACACAAAGCCCAAACACGGTGGCCCAAGTGTTAAGAAGCCCATGGTGCACATATGTGTGCCTTCGGCACTATGGCCAAGGACTCCAAATTCCACGGGACAGCTAGGTTTCAACATACAAAGCTACTAGGAGAAAGTGACGGAAATTAGGAGTCTTTGACTCCTAGGCACACGGGTAGCCTTCGGCCACAGGATGGGCCTTCGGCAACATCACGCTCAACGAAGATTCCTTTTACATACAGGCGCCCACCGCATTCAATGCGGCGCCACGTCCAACCACCGCATTTAATGCGGTGCACATGCAAATATCGGTGCCACCTCGGTTGAGGTGACCCCTCGGCCGTCAAATTGTTGACACGTGTACTCCCATCGCATTTATGGCTGCTATAAATATCAGCTCTTTTTCCTCTTGTAAAGCATACTGAGTTCATTTAATATATTTGACTCTCTCTCTTACTGCTCTGACTTCTCTCTAGTTATTTCTCGCAATAACCACTCGGATAGGCTACCCCCTGGGTACACCGTCCAACAGTAAGCTCTTGTGAGCCACACATATGGTGGGTACAAAATAAGGTACAAAAAATTTAGTACCTCTAGCAAAGTTGTTCAAAATAAACATTTAAAACTTAAACGATAGAAGAAGATAAATTTATGTCTTAAAGAGTGGTCTTCATGTCAGGCCGGCCTGACGGGATGCTCCTTCCGACCGAGCCTGTTTGGGCACCTTCCCGGTGGAATTTTTTGATGAAATTTGTTGAGCATGTTCCTTATCAAGTCTAGTTTGCCCATACCAAATTTCAGCTCACAATTCGATCGGGAAGGCATTCAAATCATTGTTTGAAGTTGACTGCGTGAAAATATACATATAAAACTGCAGTCAACTTCAAAAAAAGATTTGAATGCCTTCCCGATCGAATTTTGAGCTGACATTTGGTATGGACAAACTAGACTTGATGAGGAACATGCTCAAAAAATTTCATCAAAAAATTCCACCGGGAAGATGCCCAAACGGGCTCGGCCGGACGGAGCATCCCGTCAGGCCGCCCTGACATGAAGATTTGTCATGTCTTAAATATTCATTTTTTCTATTACACAAAACATTGTTTTTAAATACAACAACTTTTACTTTTTCAATTACATACTTTTTAAAAATACTACGTACTTTTTTATAAGATGCTTTTTCTAAAGCAACCACATAGCATTGACAAGTGTTTTACAAAAACCGGAAAATAAAATCCAAACTTTCGGCATAAAAAGTTCAAAACAAATTTAAAAAATAAACATTGATAACATATTAACATGTGAGGAGTTTTAAACTTTTTTCCACTTGTTCTATTACACAAAAATATATTCTTTTACTAAAAACCCTTAACATGTATTGTTTTGAAAGCATCTTTCTTAAACAAAATTAATTTTATTACATACTACATAGTTCTTCATGCATCTCATTTTGTGTTTTAGTTTGGTACAATTATTAATCAAAATAGTTGAAAAAATAAAAATAATGATTGCGATTTGAGTATAAGAAACTGAAATGGTGTAGACACATACTCTATTCGTCTCATTAAGATTATTTTTCCTTTTTATCCGTTTCGATAAGATTGTCTTATCCAAAATTTGGTAATTTTTGTAGATTTGTGTGGCTCTAAATTGTTCTTCATTTCTTCTTATTTAATCAATTCAATATCAAACACATAAATCCACTTTTTTAATAACCGCATCACTTCTTCAATTCCTGATATAACACTTATTTTAAGATAACCCAAAAAAGAAGTGAGACAGTTCAATGAGATAAAAGATGTATTCAACCCTTTGGAATCACTTTTAAAATGTTCAAAATAGAGGGAATAGCAAAACCAGTGATAAATGGATGATATCTTTTGGACCACTTTCAATCCTAAATCAGACCAAACAGAACTTAAGCAGATCAGACCAGAATTACACAATTATAATAAAATATACAAAGACCTCACATTTATCAAAGGAGACCAATTTAGATTAAACCAAACCAAACAAAACTTAAACAAATTAAAAGACGGTTGTACTGCATCAAAATTGTTCCAATGATGACACAATTAGGTGTGCACAGTAAGATGTGGTGCACCGAGAACCACCTAATTAAAATAGCACTCTCTTATAATGAGGCGATCGCTCGTTCCCACCACACGATTTCCAGAAGAGCACACTGATAAGTGATAACTGCGAGCTTCGTTTCGGCTCTGCCCTTCCATTCCATTCGTCAGCCAATTGACCGTTCATCCAAACATATTCAGGTATTTCAATTTCTACTCGGTTTCTCCATCTCCAGTCTTCGCTGGTTCAACTTCTCAACCCTTATTAATCAATCTCCAACAAAAACAATCAATGTTTCAATTATCCAGACATGAAAGCAGATTTAAGATATACTATCGTATGTATCACCTATGGCTTGTTTAGATCTATTGTTACCTATTCCAAATCTGAAACACCGCTCTACTGATCTCCCATTAGCCCTATATTTTCAGAGATGTCACACACCAGATCCTATTTTCACGTTTCTGATAAGTATTTGCTTTGCTGTTTATGGTATGTATTTTTTTCTGCCAAATTTGCGGTCTTGAATCTGTGTTTGTCAGGCTATGAATATTAGGATCTTCTATTACATCAAATATCTGTGTTTATCTCAAGTTTACAATCAATTTATAGTGTTAATCAATTTATACAATTGATGGCAGTATACCCTTAATGCCACCAGCTGATAATGGTCATGATAATGATGTGCCCGCAATACAGACAGTAAGAAATAGGGTTTTTAAGTCATTGCTTAGGAAAAAGAGAATTTTAAGCAGGGATGCTGCATTGTTGTTGTGAATTTGTGATAAAGGCTGGGTTTTTTAGTTGTATATGAGATTCCAATGAGTTCCACAAAAGGCCAAAGCACTGGGTGGTTGTTAAACATGGGATGATCAGGATTATATCACCCATGACCTGCCAAATGAGGAAGTTGTTTTCCTGAATCAGTGTTACTGTTTATGTTCCTTTTATTGCTAGGTAACTCTAGTTTATACCATACATTAAACTACTTGTCCTTGGGATATCATTCTCCTTGAGCAAAGATTTTCAACGCCAATTTTTATTTACAGCAAGCGAATGAAGACTCGGTGTAAGAATGTTTCCTGATTCCCCATGCCGTATCCCAAATAAAATTAAAAATATGGCACTTATATGCAAAATGTGATCTTTTTTCACACGAGCAGAACATAGTAATTGTCTAATGGGAAAATGGAAACTAATAATCCAACTTTTTAGCGGTCTTCTTACAATAGTCCCACCTTTGTCTAATTGATATTCAGAAACTTCATGTATTATCTGTTTTTCCTAATTATCACTCAGTATATTGAATCTCACTCCAGTGAATGAACTATTGGCATTGACAAATTTTAGGTGACCATGTCGACTGCAACACTTCCATCCACCTGCATGTTCAGAGTGACACCTTCCACCCAACCAAAGATTGCATTTATCAAGAATCCATCATCCCCAGTTTCTGTGAAGAGGAGCGTGTCCATATCATTTGACGGATTGAGAGCTGACCGTTTCAGAGCAAATGCTACTGCATACAAGGTTAAACTGCTTTGTCCTGAAGGCGTAGAGCATGAGTTTCAGGCATCTTCTGATACATACATCCTGGATGCAGCTGAGGAAGCAGGAATTGATCTGCCTTATTCATGCAGGGCCGGTGCATGCTCCAGCTGTGCTGGAAAGATCACTAAAGGCTCGGTTGATCAATCAGATGGATCTTTCCTCGATGACGACCAAATTAAAGGGGGATATGTATTGACTTGCATTGCTTACCCAACTTCAGATTGTGTCATTGAGACCCACAAAGAGAGTGATCTTTACTAGGCATTTTTAATTAGGTTATCATTCCCTTGTTATGCTAAGCACGAGAACTATTGGGGGTTAGCCTTCAAATGTGTGCTATTCATTCAACTTGGTTGTTTGTGTTGATTTAAACGAATCAAATATGTCATGTGTTTCATGAGCTATCTTGGTTTCCTAGAAATTTATTTCTCAAATAAATAACCCGAACTTGTGCCTATGAGCCTACTCATAGAGTTTGTGAATTCTAATGATTTGAAGAACTTGGACCCCATACAACAACATCCAAGTTTTAGTCCCAAACGATATTGGGGTCGGCTTGACTCACACCAAGTCACCAACTGGTTCATTAGTAATTTACAGTTTTAAACACACATATGGAGATAACTCATTCAGAGCACTTGATGAGATTTGGTAGGACTGTTTTAATTTTCGGCAAAAAATGTTCTAAATGTCTAGATCTATCGTTCATTAGTATCAAGCTCAATTGTTTGATCATGCCTACATTGTGAGCAAACTTCATTTCCAAAGATAAAATATTTTAGGGAAACTTTATACATGACGAAAATATTAATTGATTTCTAGTACTTCGTATATGATTATGAAATCTAAACATGCTTCTATATAAGTACTCGTAATAATTAAATTGAATGGAGAAAAAGTAAAATGAAAATTATGTATCATATTAGGAATAAAAAAACTGTTTAATCAGCCAAATCACATTGATTTGTATGAAGTATTAATGATTCAGATTTTTTTTATTCATATTTTTTTATTGATTGGTATGAAGTATTAAATTCAATAATCTTCAATTTATTGAAAATGGAAGTTAAAACTTCACTTCTTCCTTTGGCTGAAATTTAT